AACGGCTCTACCTTCATTGACAAAATCTTCGTCAGCCCGGAACTGGCCCACATGATCACCAGTGTCAACAGTGCCTGGGAAGGCTCCGGTCATGCTCCCTTGTACGCCACCATCGAGGTGCCGGATCTCGCTCATCAGGTCTGGCATTGGCCTCTCCCCAACTTTGTTCCTTGGGACTCGGTCAACAAGGAGGCTTGGCGCGCATCCTGTGCTATGGACACCCCGACCACCTCAACTAACACCACATCTCGCTACAGCGAGATCGGCAAGCATTTCGAAGAGAGCCTCAGCTCCCACATCACTGAGGCTCCACATATGCTCCCCAACGCTTGTCGGGGCAGAGCGCAGCGTCTTCAACCGGAGCTGCGTCTCAACACGGCACCACTTCCCAGACCAGGCCGTCCCGGTGATCCCCAACTACGCTCAGATCTGGTCAATCGCAATGTCATTCGTTGGTACCAACAGCTCAAACGCATCCAGCACTTGGTCCACGCCACACGGGGAGGCAAAACTCACTTGGAGGCGACCCTCCATCGATCCAACACGTGGGCCTCCATCATGAACGTCAAAGGCTTCAATCCAGACTTCTCCCAATGGTGGCTCTCCCGGCCTCAGCAGCTTCAGGGCTCTCCCACGGTTCTTCCCTCGGAGACCCCTGATCTCCAAACCTTACTGCCCATCCAAGCTGACTTTGAGTTCAACTTTCGTCGGTTTGAAACTTGGTGCTACCAGCAACGGTCCCACGCACTGAGCCTACTCCTGCAGCAACGGCGCCGGTTGCTGTTTTCTCGCATCAAAGACCCGGCCCCGGGCGCTCCACTTTCACTGAGAAAGTCGGTGAACACCACAATCCTGGCAGTCAGTGCCTCGCCGTGCCGATGGGGGCCACGTCCTGCCCCGGGTTGGCCAGCAAGTGGATTTTGGAGCCCGCGAGGATGGCCAAGAGGTTCACACGGGCGGGTCGATGCGGACCACGTGCTCACCCCGGGCCAGGACACTCAGGTCGACATAGAGCTCACGACCCCCTCCGAGATCTTTGAGGAGCTCTCATCCTACTGGTCACAACGCTGGTCCAGAATTCAGCAACTACCCGAGGCTCAACTACGACGCATCATCTCCTTCGCGGAGGTCTACATGCCACGAAGTCCATGGATCTATGAACCCTTGGACCTTACCCAATGGCAATACGGTCTCAAGCGCTTCACCAGCCGGTCGGCTAGAGGTCCTGACGGCTACGACTTCCAGGACCTACGCAACATGCCTCCCACACAACAAGCCACCTTGATTCAACTCATCACTGACGTTGAACAAGGCCAACCTTGGCCTCAACAGCTCTTGGAGGGCCACGCAGTTGGCATACCCAAGACAACTACTGCCACCATGGTTCAAGACTTCCGGCCAGTTGTCATCACATCACTGATCCAGCGCAACTGGAGCTCCCTGCGCGCCAAGCAGGCCACCCGTCGCCTTGCGCTTATGGTCCCGTTCATGGCCATGGGCTTCCTGCCCAACCGGGAGCCTGGAGAGCTTTGGCTCACTACCCAGGCCCTGATTGAGCACACCAGCACGAAACCCCGCTTCTGGGGCACATCACTGACATTTGCAAGGCGTTCGACCACTTGCCTCGCCAACCAATAGCCTGGCTCTTATGCCATCTGGGAATGCCTCCGCTCCTCGTCGACGCCTGGCATCGATGGCTCGACCAAATGAGTCGCCGCTGGACGTGGCATGGCCAGATTGGGGAGCCGCTGCAATCAACGACGGGATATCCTCAGGGCTGTGCTCTCAGCTGTGTGGCTATGATCGTCGTGGATCTGGCCTACCATCACTACATGCACCACTTCTCGCCCAAGATCTTGGCCACATCCTTTGTGGACAACTTCGCCCTCCTGGGGCACTCGATTGGAGACTTAATCCATGGCATTGTCACCCAAGCTGTCTTCATGGACCTCTGGCAGCTGGACTTGGATCAGTCCAAAACCTTCTGCTGGGCTACGCTGGCCCCTCTTCGTGCCAGCCTCACTAAGCTGGGGCACACAGTCAGGATGCATGCGCGCGACCTTGGAGGGCAGCTCACCATGCAGGCTAAACGCCACACGGCTTCCCTGCTGGACCTCCTAAAGTCATTGGATGACGTGTGGCTACGGATCCGGAGACTTCCAGTTCCACAGGTGCTCAAGGAACAGGTCATCATTCAAGCCCTTTGGCCGAAAATCTTCCATGCCACAGGCATCAACGTGTGCCCTGACCAAGTGATCTCCAAACTCCGCACCAAGGTGCGCAAAGCACTCGGCCACGGTCTGGCAGGTGCTCAACCTGCTGTCCGCCTGACCCTGCTCAGCTCCAACCCACTTCTGGACCGTGGCCAATTACACCCAAGCCCTTTCAGCGTTCTCCTGAACCAGCTGGAACTCCTTAGCTGGCATCTGCATGACCCTCCCTTCGTCTCGGACCACACGGGACATCAATTCGACTTCCTCGATCTTGCGGAAGACCAACTCTGGACGAAGACGGTGCATGGATGGCACCTCAGACTGTCCCGGACACTTGCACGGCGCAAGGACATCGATGGTCTTCTGGGTCTTGATTGGCGCCCCACTCAACTCGCACTACAACGACTTCCACCTCTTGCCCTTGCCAGCATGCAGGCCCTCGTGGAAGGCTCGTTCATGACGGGTCGATCTCAGGCCAAATTTGACCTTACCAAAGATGGGAGCTGCTCCTTCTGTTCGGGCCCCGACACCATTGAACATTGGTGCCTGCATTGTCCAAGGCTTCAACCGGTTCTGCACCGGCATGCCGACATACGGCGGCGTTGGCATGGCCTTTTTTCGTGCATGACAGAGCATCTACTCTGTCCAGCCAATCCCTTTCACCAGCAGCTGCTCCATCAGCTCTGGATTCAGCCTCAGACCGCCTTGCACGCACACCCCTCTGCTCTTCCTCCCCACCTCGACTTCTTCACCGATGGTTCCTGTTACCAACCCCATCACCCGATGTTGGCATTAGCAGGATGGGCGGCTTCGTTGGCCTTCACCAACTTTGATTTGGCGGGCCCACTGATTGGCCACCCTCAGACTATCAGTCGAGCGGAACTCACGGCTGTGCTTCAGGTATTGCGCTGGTCAAACGTGCATGCTATCGCCTCACCGATCTCCATTTGGACGGACTCTGCCTATGTGGCCTTGGGGGTCAATGCTTTGCTTCACTGTTTGGAACCTCACGAACCCGGAGCCAATTGCGACCTTTGGGCCGATATTGAGAACGCCCTGTCGGTTCATGAGGCGACGATTCAGATACAGCATGTTGCGGCGCATGGAGATTCGACGGTCAGCCTCAACCCGGTATCGGACTGGATCGTCGATCACAACAACCGTGTCGACCTTCGGGCTAAGCACGCAGCCTGGCAACGCAATATGCAGTTTTTGCAGAGCCACTCGCAGTACCATCAGCATGACCTTCAAGTTTGTCAGGACATTCAGGCACTTGTTTCCCTGCATGTGGACGTTGCATCGGCACGCGCACAGTTGTTGGCCACCCCACTGGAGTTGGACCCCGAGCTTGAGACTGAATCGCCTCCGCAATGTGTGATTCCCTGGCTCCATGATTCCTACTGGTTGGACGATCTACCAATTGCCTGGAGCAGCCTTTTGCAGGAAAGCCCGATTATGGCACCCTTTGACCCGCCCTTCTTTTTGACATTGATGCAGTGGTTGCTTTCGATCGATACAGTTGGTGCGGGCCTTGCAGCCGTTAGTTGGATTGAGCTGGCCTTTTTGGTGAAACAGGCCAACTTCGCGCCTTTGCCGGTACCTGCACCTGGTTTACAAGAGAGGTGGGACAATGGTTCATCCCGGCACCATGGCATGACCCTTGCATCCTGTGTGCGCTATCTGCAACGTGGATTCCGCGCAGCGATGCGGGTTTTGAACGTTCCCGTGCCTAGTGTGACTCTGGTGCATCTCGCACCCATTGGAATTCATATGCCTGTCAAAGGCCTTCATCTTCGCCTTGCGGAACACCATCTTGTACAGGTGCACCATTTGATCTTGGCGTTCACTGCCACTAGGCGAATCAGGTCTACCAATGACCTTAATGCGCTCGAAGCCCAGCTGCAAATCAAATACCCAACCCATCGATTTTGCAACTGCTTGTAAAGCATAGGGAAAAAACTCCGCTCGGCACATGACAGGCACACTTCATAAGATTCATCTTGCGGACAGTACGAAACTCTTTTTCAGCAGATCCACTCGGCTGACCAAATAGGTAACTGTTGCTGTGAGGCTAACTGCCATATGGTACATTGCTGCACGCCCGCAGCATCGCGCACAAAGCTTTGGCAGTTGTAGCACAGCAAGAGTGTCAACCCCGCAACTTACAGAACACGGGCGGGCTGGGTGGGCCCCTGAAGTCTTGAGCCGGTCATGTACCGACCAATGCCATTCGACAATGCAATCCCTAAGCATTCTCGCAAAACAAAAAACAAACACCACAAAACAAAACACCACGAAAACACCAAACCAAACAACCCAACAAAACCCAAACAGAGAGCTTAGGGATTGGGATGCCCATTCAACCCATCAAATGCAAAATCCAGCGTTAGTTGATGCCAACGCCCCAAAGGGCAAACAAACGCAACCCAAACAACAAAGCATCACAACGCGCCCTCCCAGTTTATTCTGGGCAAGGACTTGGCAACATTAACTACCGTGCACTGCGTTCACTCATTCATAATGCGCTCGAAGCCCAGCTGCAAATCAAATACCCAACCCATCGATTTTGCAACTGCTTGTAAAGCATAGGGAAAAAACTCCGCTCGGCACATGACAGGCACACTTCATAAGATTCATCTTGCGGACAGTACGAAACTCTTTTTCAGCAGATCCACTCGGCTGACCAAATAGGTAACTGTTGCTGTGAGGCTAACTGCCATATGGTACATTGCTGCACGCCCGCAGCATCGCGCACAAAGCTTTGGCAGTTGTAGCACAGCAAGAGTGTCAACCCATCCCGACGGTGGCATCAATCCTATCGGCCAGCAATGTTTTGAATTTTTGCAATGCGGCGCTGACATTTGCAAAGCTGGCTGTTTCCTGAATCTTGGAAAGTAAGTTGCACTGCCGAAAAAATAATACACCCGCAAGCATGAATCCCACCTCGCCGCACGCAGTAAGGCATCTGTACCACGAGCATGATATGAGGTTCATCCATAGCCACGTGCATGGGTGAAGCGGCTCAACCACAAACATGCGAGAAGTATTGACAGCTGGAACAGATTGTGCAAATGCCTGGAGCTGACGAACCATTTGCGGAGCCTCCTGCTGTACCTCCAATTCAATCAACTCCCAAAACGGGTTTGCCCATCTGGCCTGAAAGCTAACCCGAGTATGAGCAAAATCAACACTGATCCAACCTCCCGGCAGCAAGCCTGCCACCACTGCTGCTTCCCAGTACTCTCCCGACACATTGAAATGTTGCATTGTACTGTCAACAGTCGGTATGCCAAGCTCGACCGAATGCGCTGCCGAAATCCATAGATCTAAAATTTGGCTCTTGTTGCACATTGTAACAGCTACACCGCTCTCGCCGAGAAACCAAGCCGAAACTTCGCTAGCTGTAAGCCCCACAACTCTGCCGGCCGTCTTTGTACATGTCAAATTCAGCAAATCCACTCCACGCCATGCTGTATGCACCAAATCCATGGATTCCACCGAAAATGCCTTGACCACCTGCGAAGTAGAAGTCGCCAGATCCGCTGAGCTATCGAGTACCAAGGCGGCCACCGAGGCAGCTGACTCGGACACCCTCGCAACTGAGCCTAGCATTGAAGCGAAGTGATCAAAGGCACCGGAGCGTGAAGCACTTGCCAGGACCAGCACCCAGAACATCGAGCCCAGCATAGACTTGTTCAGCTTCCTTATGTAAGCTCGCGTTTTCTGCCACCATGTCTGCTGCCGAGGCCTAGCGGCGTTTGGAACACGACGCTCTGTGTGCACATCGTGAGGGCCGACTTGTCTTCCCAGTACGGTTCGCCCCGTCACCCTTCCTGATCTCCGAAGGGCCACCCGTGGTTTTGGCGTGGCATTTCGTTGTCTGGTCCTGCTGTGGGGTTGAGGTGGAACGAGTGGCACCTGCGGCAACTCGTTCGGGGAAAGCTCGTCTTCCACCTCTATATGCACTGGCAATCCCATCATCCTTGGAACTAAAGCACAAAGCGGGAAAGTAACTTTCCAAATGGGTAGAGCAAAACTGGACTGCCTGATCCTGTTTCCTGAGAGAAAAGGCTGCTTCCACCTGTGAGGCCGAGACCACGTCCACGTACGTGTTGAAGCTACTCTCGGACGCCCACCTGCCCAACTGTCGGATGACACTCGGCAGCATTCCGTCCGATACCGCGTCTGTCGCAAACCCTGCCCTGGCCGAATGAGGAGTGAAGTGAGATACCACATCGTTTTCCTGACACACCATGGCCAAAACAGTTCTGTATTGCTCATACGTGTATGGGAACAATCGTTCTTCTGGCTTTGTTGCAACGACCACTCTCCATAACAATCTAGCCACACTCTCATCCCTACTCCATTCAAGAAACGTGACTTGCTCTCTCTGCACTTTTGTTGACCGCATGGCTCCCAAACGAAACACGAACCTCGGCTTCTCAGATGTAGGGAGTAATATGTGATGTTCCCTGAGTGCCAAAACTTCCGACGGCCGCATACCTGTCCGGGTCTGTACCACCACTGCAACGCCCATTCGAAACAAAGCTTTAGCAGCCATATGACAAGCCAACCACTTGGCATGCTTGTGGCTGAGCGGCAACGTATGCTTGATAGGAGTCTCCTTAACGATGCCAGAGATCACTCGTTTGCTCCATACGAAGGACCCCTTGACCTGAGGGATATGAAACTCCAGCGATGCAATGGTACCTTCCAGATCCGCCTTTTTCAAACTTGCGTGGTTCTTGTAACAAACGAGCGCTGCATCCAAACTCTCAGACGAGTCCGGGTTCAGGCCCTGTTCATCGAGATAGGCCACAAACGCTTGTAAGTACTTGTGATAACGTGCAGCGTGGTCCCAGACACTGAAACTGCGTGATGCCGATCCAGCCTCCTCGGAAGACAGCAAAACACCCTGCACCCTAATGGCATGAATTTGAGCCTGCTACTCGAGACAGCCAATCTGCAGGCATCTTGCTGCTCTCAACCCAAGGAAAAACCAACCGAATACCTGACGCCAAACAAGCTGCACATTTGCGCCTGACAGCAAAGTTTAAAGGCCAACTCGAGGATCTCCCTTTTGTCATAGCCGCACCGCACGGTTGGTTGTCCTGCAAACTAAAAACAACTGTGTCATGCATCGGTATGTGTTTGCACATTGCTGCCACGGCAATCGCCACTGCCCTTGCTTCGCCTAAGGTTATGTGATCCGCGTATTTCCATCGCCCCTGTAACAGAGGGGCCCACCTTGATAGATCCCACATCGACGAAGGCAAAAGCGAAAACGGTTTTGTCGGCGTAACATGTCTATCCGGATGTTTCAGTATTTGTTCACCTCGTTCAAGGCACACTACCGATCGTCCTGGCTCTTCTGAATTCAACAGCAAGGCATCAATTTCAGGCTTATTTACTGTAGTGGCCACCATACCGAAGCCTCCATGATCGGTTTCGTTTGCTCCCATGGCATCTGTGGCCACCACAATTCAAAAAAAAACATGCCTGAGCATTTGAAACCATGAACCGCACACTCCTTGCCATAGCGACGAGCTCTTGTCTCACAGAAGGCCACAGTTTGATCACCTCTCCTTCATGCCTCTCAATCATTTTGAAAACAGAGAAAGGGATGCACATGGTGTCTCGCCGCAATTGAGCTCCGTGCAGCCAAATACCAACTACCGCTCTCAGCAAATCGACGTCCACATACTTCTGCCGCGACACCTCCCGTAAACAAGCCGGAAGGAGAACTCTCTTTTTCAAAGGCAAGCGAAACGTGGCCGAAGGCGAATGAGGCGCATACCCAATGATCTTCTCCACATCTGCTGCTTTCACCCGGTCGGGCACAATGAACCCAACTTCCTCCATGGCTTCCGCAATCTGATCCATAATTTCATCACTGGAAGGAACAAAACCGGGCCGCGTGAAAACCAGTGTGTCATCCACATGCAAATAAACTGCACATTGGTCATTGTCTAACGTCACATGTTTGGCGTTCACATTTGCTTCGTTCAGGATTTGAGCGCCCGGCGTGCCATTTGGACTTGGGTTGAAGCTCCAGGCTGAGGACACCTGCGCCGCATCCCTCTTCAAGTATCCTGTGGGCCCCCGACCTGTTCGCACATTCCCGGAGGATAGGTTTGAAGACGACGTGTACGAAAATGACCTGCCTCATCTCTGCCCAGCGAAGTACCTGTATGGACATGTTCCTCACTTACTCCCGGGCATTGATAGGCTGTAAAGCGTTCTATCCCTTTGAGGTTTCCACTGAGAGTAGTGCCCTTAGGGACTGGCGCTCCAAGTACACATTGATCGAAGTCCACCCGTACTGCATCGGTCCTTCGCTCAAATTCACAGAATTCGGAAGTTGCAAGTATCGATGGATACGGGTCCTGCTTTGGGAAGGTGAGCTCCTCCTTGCCCCGAAACCGACTCGCAGACAGCCATGTAATTTATCCACAACTTGTTGGCTTCGTCCACACGGCTCTTTTCTGCAGTGGTTAAATCGGGCCTTCCCCAAATACACCATCGAAAACGCACAGGGCGTGGACCTTGATGCGTTCGATTGAACCTGGCGCGAGACACTGTTGAACAAGGAGGGCCGCCTATGACTATATCCACGAAGCCTCGAGTCATCTTCATGATTGAGTGGAAGGTCTCGTCGTTGGCAAGGTCCCACCTGGCATCGACAGCCAAGTCAATTGAAATCATCAGTATGGGTATATCTGCTGCCTTCGCCTGCTGCTCCACAAAGCGATGAATGTCTCCACATCTCCGTTCACCTGAAAAGAAGGACATGACAACTATAGTGCGCGAGCCTGAGATTCGCGCCTGTGTAATGGCTTCCCACCATTCTTGCACCGAATACCCGGCTTCGTTTCGTACTCTCTCTGCAGTGTTATGCAACTTCCACCACTCAAGGTGACTAATACCATAATAGCGCCCAGCAACTGAATCCAACCTCTCTACTGGAGTGTGTAAATCCTCATGTCGCTGTTGAGCCTGTGGTTGATTCTGCACTGCAAACTGCAACGTCCGTCTCAAAGTCCGTCCTATAATCTGCAAATTGATCGCCATAAGAATATGCACCGAATGTGAGGACCCCATAGGCAAGCGCTTGTACACCGGACACACCATGTCGCTTCGACACAAGGTTCCCCTTAGGGTGTGGGGTATGAGCTCCCACACTTCGTTTGCACAAATCGGCGGTACTGCCTGGCATGCGTGAAACCACTCCGGAACCAATACCCGTGTAAAAGCATTTGACTGATCACACGCCGACACATCTAGTGGCTGACCCTCAGTGTGAATACGAGCCAAGGCACCTGCACCATCCATACCCTGGTTCGAACGCTTCTCCACGCTTTCCCAAAGGTAGTTCAAGCTGCAGCACATGATCAACTTGCGTTGAAATTCTCCGTTTCTTTTGTTCTTTGGCACCACACTAAAACCTGCGATGGCTTTGACTTCTTCGAGAGGCATCCATCCCCACATGTTATCCGGCAAATCTTCTCGATGAAAATACTTCACGTACTCCTCTTTGCTGCCACCAACAAAAGAGAACTGCTGTTCGATCTCCTCTTGTATCTGTTTGGATTTGCCTCCTCTCTCGAGCACATTCTCTTCGCGTGCATAATACTGAGCCTCCTCCTCCGGGAGCACTTCCAGCAAATGCACCACTCCGTTGTCGCAAGGTTCAACGACTCGAGAAGCTATCAGCGGAACTTGAGTGGGACCTTTTCGCAATCTGGTGTATCCCAAGTCATCTCTCTTCGTTTGCTTAACCAGCTCCTCTGTCGCGTGACCGCTAATAGAACCGAAGTCCCTGCGGTCCCTCACTTCATCCCTCGCAAGCGCAAAGAGGCGAGTGAGAATCTGATGTTGAGCCAAACTGACATTCGGCTTTTGCTGTAAGTGTGGATCTCGCTGATTTGCATAAAAAAGATTGTTCAGAAGCAATACATAACTCCGCACTAATCTGTACAAAGTCCGGGTTTGCTTCCATCTGCACCAAATCCTCTGTGAATGAGATTTTGGATATAATGGTAAAATCGGCATCGGCAAAGGAAAAACACACTGATCGGATTTCACATCGCGAGCAAATTCTTCCAAGCGCGAACTCCTCCAAGCACCAACACGATCCTCAAAAAGGGGCGGCACTCCATCTGAAAAAGGAGGATCGTCTTCTCCAGATGTACCAGCAAGTCAACCTTGAGTTTTGGAGGAGGATCCTTTCTTCCCTCCCCCCTTTCCGCGACCAGCTTTGAAATGTTGCTTCCCGCCTCCCTTGTACGAGTTCGCGCCTGAAGGAGGTCCATGGCCTTGATCTTTGGCACGTTGACGCCGTTTGAATTCAGACTGTGAATACATCCCTGCTTCCGACACCAGCCAAGCCGGAGCCACATCGTGATTACCTGTCGTGGGCTTGATGGCCAGCATCGCTTCTGCAGCTGACCTGTCTCCCGTCCGCTTCATATGGACGTAAGAAGCAATCCGTCTGAGAGCTACTTCGCATGTATCATCACAAGCAATAAGAGCTAGGGCTCGCGCATGGCTCCCATCTGCTTCTTTTACCCGAAAATCTACCAGACTTGCAAGATTGAAAAGTTCTGAATAAACTGGATCGGAGCGTTTCTCCAAAGGGAATTGTTGATTGATCCAGTCCCTGCAACTCCGACATCCTGCCGTTTTGAACGACGAAAATATCTCGGGTCCAGCGCGTTTCAAATCAGGAGGCAAAGAATCCACCCAACCGTCCAGAGTGTCATTCTCATCTGGCTGCAAGGCAGTTTCACCGATATCGTACAAAGCTGAGGTGTGGGCCAGGGCCCCCAAGTTCTCCAGGTCGCTGAGTCGAGATTTCAACTCGTCCACTCTTGGGTTTGACCCCACTCCATTGCCCACATAACCATGCATATTCAAAACTGCTGTGACCCTTGGATTGATGTTTCCTAAATTTCCAACTTCTCTCCAAAAGGTTTTGGCCCAGTTAGGGTACAACGCACTGCGAGAGGAAGCCACAACCAGCATGTTCTTTATTTTCCCAGCTTGTTCCTTGACTTGTCGCTGATTGGCATCTGCAAGAGGAGCATATACATCACTTCTAAACTGAATTCCAGTGGTCTCCCCAACGGCAGCTGTCACTTGACCAAGGTCCCCGCCTGATAGCCGTCTTGACAAAGTTCTCAACGCTTCTGCGTCCGGCATCTCATCCAAGTTTGGAATAGGCATAACATTCTGAGATCTCAAGAAATTGAGTCGGCCGGAGCTAATCGTCAATACATCCATGGAATCCGCATGCACTCTAGCCACTACCCCTGCAGCCCCGTTCAGTTCTGAGTGGCTAGACAAATTGGCCAAAGTAACCGGGGCCCCCAGAGGTAACAATCTCTCAATCTGATGTTGCTGGCTGGAAGCTGCTGTATGCATGGGGCCCTGGGTGTCTTGTCTGCTCAACGCGTGCAAAGACTCCATCAAATTGCTCTGTCCTGCTTGAGTTGGTAACGGAGGCGCAAACGCAGGTGGTGGTACAGGTGGCTGAGTTCCTGAAAAATCATGCTGTTGAACGTCTTCATGCTTTTCTCCATCAAATTCAAGTTCGTCTTGTTCATCAAAATCGACTGGCAAGTGAAACCTTGTTGTCGATGGGCGTCTCCATGACCACACCGCTAATACGATAAACAGCATCAACGCGACACCTCCACTCACTACCCTGGTTCTTCCCGTAAACCAAGTAATTGCAGAGACCATAGAACAAGATAAGAACAGCACCCACACCATTCTGTATATGAAGAACAAGCAACGCGCGCAACGCGAAGGCGATCTTCCTTGAAAAGATTCATTCGCCTGATCCAAGACCTTCTTTGTCATAGTTGACCAAGCCGCATCATCTTCTTGGAGAAGACCGCAGCGCAAACGACTTTGTGTACCATCTGTGCATTCCACGAACCAAGTCCAAAGTAAATTGCACCAATCATCAAAAGACCATTCCTTTGCCGCACGGTCTTGTCCTAGCGCCAGCACCGAAGGAAGCATAGCACTGACCATGTTCTCGACTTCCGTTTCCATACCTGAAGCACGTGTAGCTCCAAGGTCTTTTCGCAGATGTCGTACCAAACTGTCAAGGTCAGTGTCACTGAAATTTCGATGTACACCAACCTCGTCTAGTACCCTCCGCAATTTCATTCGTGTAGTTCCAGCCACTTTCATGGCTGATGATGTAGGGCGGTCTCTATGACTAGAAAAATCACCCCTGAAGTCTTGAGCCGGTCATGTGCCGACCAATGCCATTCGACAATGCAATCCCTAAGCATTCTCGCAAAACAAAAAACAAACACCACAAAACAAAACACCACGAAAACACCAAACCAAACAACCCAACAAAACCCAAACAGAGAGCTTAGGGATTGGGATGCCCATTCAACCCATCAAATGCAAAATCCAGCGTTAGTTGATGCCAACGCCCCAAAGGGCAAACAAACGCAACCCAAACAACAAAGCATCACAACGCGCCCTCCCAGTTTATTCTGGGCAAGGACTTGGCAACATTAACTACCGTGCACTGCGTTCACTCATTCAGTCCAGACCTTTTTGAGGACATGAGACCGCTGCGTGCCGCACCGCCTTGTTGCTGTGCGCGCGCTTGAACCGGAGTGAATGAATGTAGGGTTTGTTGACAGGCTTGTCAACTTTCCAAAAGAACCATGTTCCTTCAAGGCTTTCAAATGATTGGCCAATTTGGTCCCTGTCCAGATTGACTCTGCCCTGTCCCAGGCACAAAACCACACAGCACTGGCAAATTCTAGGTATTGAGTATGAATGAACACGGCTAGGAGTGGCTTTCAAATTGGCACCTGAACTTTTGGTCAAACTAAATACGCAGATTGCTGTTCAAACGTGAAATGCGTCGGCACGATTGGTAGATTTGCACCATGCAAACGTTAAATGACGGTGAGCCCAGAACATGCGCCGCATATAAAGCCGCCATTTAGCCCCTACCAAAAACAGGGGCTGTTCAATATGGCCGAATCCCTCCGTCATCCATAGGACAGGACACCACAAGTTGATGAAAAGCACCATCAGTGTTCACCAAAAACAGGGCCACAAGAGGTTGATGAACAAAAACCCACCAGTCTTGCGAGTTTCGGTGTTCCACCAAAGGTACCGGGCACAACAGATCTGGCTCCTTCCTGGTGTAGATGGAGTCGAAGCAGCCGTCCGAGTCCCCGCAACACTCCTCCCTGGCAAACCGCCCGGGGGGTGGCATCCCTTGGACCTTCGTGGAGCTCGCGTTACCAGGCGAGAGCGTTAAAAATTGCCAAGTTGCCGGCTGCTGATTCAAATCCCAGTTTTTGCTGCAAACATCTGCTTTTGTGGATGGGTTGTGCCAGTTGGCACCGTTTGCAACCAGGGGTTGCACTATCTGCGTATGGTTTGAACTTCCAGGACCTATCAAATCTCTTGGCGACTTGCCACTGAGAAGGGCGACCCGGCACGCAGAAGGGTGTTTCCTGTAGAAACCAAAGCTGCAAACTGCTTGCACTGCCAAGAGCTGTGTGCATGGGGCATGGCCAGTTGGGCCATAGCAACACCTGGCAGTCAGAGGCACTCGCCTCTTGGTCGAGGTTCAAAAATGATTCTGCCTGTTTGTGGCTCAAGAGTATGTGGCCAAGCAATCGATGGTGGCCAATATCTTGGCCGGAAAGGTCTTGAGTCCTCAATTATGCTGGAAGTACGCTGAGCACCATTCAAACCTCCGGTCACGTCATTTCAAGGCACTGCGATTCAAAACCAGCAACCTTCACCCAAAAAAAAAGGACATGGGCTGCCGCTTGGGTTTCTCACTAAGCTTTCCCTAAGCTGAAAAGGTTTGGTTGCATGGCGACCACATCGACTCGCATCGAGCCTGGAGTGCCCCTTCTCCCAGCAGGACACGAAGGAGGCATCCTCAGCCTGACAATTTGCGGCCGGCCACCAAAGGAAAGTCCAAGCCGCCATAATTCGTAGTGGGAAGGTACCGGTGTAAAAGGGACCGCGCTGAAGCCAGTGTAAAGCCACAAAGGGTCTATGTCCAGTTTTGACACATTGTCACTAGTCACAAACGCTGGTTCATTATTGGAACCATTGCCCACACTTCGATGACATCGTGTTGCTCTTCAAGCACCAGGCACGGTAGCGTGTGTGGAGGGCCAAAAACAAATGGACAAAGACATGGCACCGAATCCGACAACGTGGCATGGAGCAATAAGCGCCACATGGAATCCCAAAAGCTCCCGCAGCATGCTCCTCCGGATCCATGAAGGGAAAAAAAAAACCGAACGCACGTGCCCAAAGCATTCAAATGTGGAATCGCTGCGAACGAAGATCTGCCGGCTCCCCATGCGCACTCGCCCGGCATTTTGCCCATCGATTCGGGAGGATTTGGCCGCGGTGGGAGCACGCCGTATTGCTGACCTTTGACTGGCCAAATTCTGACTTCAGACAATGCTGTGCATGCCAAGAGCACGCACCCTTGGCTGAACCTCACTGCCTCTCCTGTGAGAGGCAGGACGTAAACATCCTCCTTTGGAGGAACGCGCGTAGGACCCGGAAGAGTGCAGAAATCTCAAAATTGAGGCTGTGAGACATTGCTGGATGCATCTTACTTCTCACTCTTCAAACGGGACTGCCGGAGGCACGCACACTTCCGTGCATGCACACCAACACGAAAAACGCGAGTGGGTAGTTTTACAGGGGGCGTCTGACCCATGCGATCAATCAAGCCATTGACATGGGCTGAGCTTCTCCAGACCCGCCTGTCTTCAGCGAGAGCTCAGGCCACGAACCCTCAAGACGAGCTCAGGCCACGCTTGCGATTCTCAAAGTGCGCAAAGCTTGTGCTTGCCTTCGACACTTAGCAGCCGTAGACCTTGGTCCGAGCGGCCAATACGAAAAACAAAATCGATCGAGCCGGTCGCGGAAACTGCCGCCTTGGGGCTGCCAGTTTCAAGCGATCCTCAACCAACATCAAGAATGCGGCCATGGTGGGGTTGCTGGGTAAACCCAGGAAGATATCCACCCCTTGGATTCGGGTTCTAACGCACCAGGGATGGGGGAGTAAGACAAAAATACGGCAAACCCTGGTCCGGAGCTCTTGCAGCAAGGCCACTCGGATCCTGGGAGGAGTCGGCGCCGAGCCGCCTGCCTGCCAAGTCACGTATGTCGCAAACGAAGGTACCCAATGCTCACACAGCTTGAAGTAGAAAAGACCCCTAACCTTCCAACCCCCTCTTAGAACGCTTCATGTCGGCCCCAATTACAGAACTCTCCGTAATTCACACATCAGATATGATGTTGCCCTCTTTATGGAAACATCCAAACCACAGTCGAGCTTATTATTCACAAGTCCTTGCGTGTGGCACACTGCAGGCGAGCTTGCTTTCATGGTACAACCTCCTACGCAGCACGAGTCAATCAAACAGCCTGGCCAAGGCTCAGGGAAGTGCCACTTTTTGCCATGCGGGTAGCCTGCGACCCCAGGCTTCTCAACCTGAAGTCTTGGGGTTGATCAAGTCCCCCGTCAATTTCTCCCGGACGCGTTTGCGTTTTGTTGGGGGGGGATTCCTCGCCCATCGGCCAAGAGACGATACTTTCCGCGACACAACTGCGACAGGTCACGCCTTTCTGAGCTGCTCGGCGTCACCCTTGCGATCCACTCCCATGATAACCGCTACCTGTGCGTGATACGGAAGAGGGGAAGAGCAAAACCCTGCAACAGCTCGGCGTCTCCAGCTTGTTCATGCATTCGCTGGGAAAACAAGCCGGAATGAAGTCGATCTGACTCTGGTACAAGAAAAACTGCCGGCCGGCGGCCATGTGCATGGTCTCTTTGCTCTATATGGGAACACTGTCACTGCCATCGGAGCCCTCCTTCCCCGTTACCTAGGATGGATGTAACAATGTCATCGTCGCATCCAAAGGGGCAGTGGGAATGGCGAAGCTAGGTCTTTGTGACTGACATGTGGCCGCTCCAGGCTGCAATGAGGCAATCAGCTGGGAAGTAAACAAAACACCTGGCTTGCATTCCCTGGCAATTCCTTCGTCTGCTTCAGAGCCTGTTCCCTGCCTGAAAGAGCAGGCGGTCAATCTCATCCGCAGAAGCAGAGGAGTCGCGGCTGCTCACAAAGTCATCGTAGCACCTGGCTCAGTCATCGCTTCCGAAGGTGTGTCACTGACGCCAATCCACATACGTTCAGACAATTGTGCTAGGCTTCAGGGAAGTGGAAACGAGCAATCAAGCGGCCGTGTGCATGACAGTCTCAAAATTGATGCCCAACATAATGAAAGCAAGCCAACCATGCCCTGCAGAAGACTTCCTCTACACCAGTTGCAGTAGTGAATCCACAAATGGTGCTCAAAGGAAACCAAGCGGATAGTCAACCATGTTGAGGGGTCCCCCGCTCACATCCGCGCCTCGAAAACATGTCAATGGTCTGTGTCCGCGCTTCGGGCGCAAAGATCACCAGCCCGGACTCAGCGCAGGTGGCCAAACCGCGTGGCGGTTTGAAATCGCGGGAGCGAAGTGAACAGAGAGCTCGGAATTTTTGGGCAAGCCATGTTCACCACCAATCTTGAGGGATGCCTGCGGTTCCATGCTGCCAGAGGGTTCAAGGCCTGAGACTGTCAAAGTCATACCCCTCGAGATTGATCTCCGTCGAGCCAGAGTAACAGGAGAGTAGCACCCACTGCAGCAAAAGAGCGCCCACACGCATTTCATTCAACTTGACTTTCGCTGAGGCAACAAACGGAACTTGCATCTCAACCAATTTTTGGGCACACAAGGATTAAGCCAAGCTTGTCAGCCGGTCAGCACGACTTTGCAGCTAAGCGTCGCCAATGGCTCTCTGAGTCATCTTCTTCCAGCGGAGAATCGCTGCCTAGGGCTTGCACGAGAGTGGCAGGTGGTTTGCTTCACGTTCTTTCTTGCCTCACGCTCCTCACTGTGAGCTAACATTGCCTGCCCGCAAAAGTATCTAGAGTCCTAACCCTGACGCGCAACATGTCCGTCTGTCCCTTTGTCACTGCTGTCACCTCTTTCTCTCGCTCTCTCTCTCTCTCTCTCTCTCTCTGACTCTCTCGCTCTCTCTCTCTCTCTCTCTCTCGCGCTCTCTGTCTCTGTCTCTGTCTCTGTCTCTGTCTCTGTCTCTTTCTCTGTCTCTGTCTCTCTCTATCTCTCCCTCTGCCTCTCTGCCTTTCTGCCTCTCTGCGCCTCTGCCTCGCTGCCTCTATCTCTCTGTCTCTCTGTGTCTTTGTCATGTGCATCACATTGCAAGATATTCAATGATCGATTACCATTCAAATTACATTAACGTTTACGGGGCACACATCACTTTACGTACACTTTGTCTCCTGTTGCATGAGTTCAATTCGGATTGCATCCGGCCTGGGCCGTGTCCAGGTTCCGGCTCTGGCGCAGGTTGGACACGCTTTCGCAGACCCACCCCAGCAGCCTGCTGCATTTTTGCGGCCGAGTGGGCAAAACCAGGCCGGAGATACCAAAAGGCAAAGAGCTGTTGGCAATAAACCTCGGGTGGGCCTCTGAAAGGTCCAAGGATTCAGCTACAAGCCGGCGTCTTCTTCCATGCGACTGCCTCCTGAAGCGTAGAGCTTGACCTATCCCGGTCTTAGCCGCTAAACCCGGGGTCAGAAACTCAGCCAGAGGCCAAAGGTCCAAGATTTGTCCATACCGACCGACCGGAATGAACCAATTTCGACGCGGGTCCCGGCCTGTTGCTGACCTCTGCGTTGGCACATTCCCAGACTCTGCTGGAAGCCTGTGCCAAGATCTGGAGGCCAGCCTGTGAGATGGGCCGGCGAGGGTAGGGCTACAGCTGTGGTGTCGCTTTTGCTTCGCAGGCATCGCGAGCCTTTCAAGTTGCGTTCCGTAGCTTGCTTCCAATTGTTAAAGCTACTCCTCTGAGTGGAACTCCAGAATATCAATCAAATGTCAAGGATGCCAAAGCTCCGGGCTCAAGCATGTCAAACCATTTGACCGTTCGGCAGACCAATGCGAAGCCAAAATCTCCTCTGGGAGAGAAACCAAAGAAGAACAATATCAAGCTATGCACAGCCAGCTAAAAGGCATACGGCGCACACGAGCTCGAACACGGCACGCCTTGGTCTCACACTCAAATTGAAGACGGTCCAGCGACCACATCTTGACCATCGCCGGGACCTCCCAAGCGATGGTATCTTCCTCCGCAAGCCAGGTCAGACAATCATGTTTATCCGTTTAGCCATTAAAGAAACATCTTCCGAACAGATCTATTCCTATTCATCGATTTTGACGAGCAGTGAGGGTCCCCTGACCCCGTTCCAGACTCTCCCGGGACAAAAGAGCCAAGAAAAGGTCCCCTGAAGTGGCCGCAATTCCGGTGCCCAAAATGTGACCTGCTCGCCGGGGGCCCTTTGCACCACCCGTGAAGATACATCGCCATTGGAACAAAGATGAACGCAGGAGAAGCCCACAAGATGCCAACGCCGGAACGTCACTGCGCGATCCAGCGGAGTAATTTCAACCACGGCCCAAATATGAGCCGACCAGCCAAATAATTAGCAGCATGCTTTTGGAAGGAAACCGTCCAAAGGACCCCTGCCCATGCTGCTAGAGCAATATCCTTTTTAAAACTTTTTGCTTGCCAGGATTCCACTTCCCGATCCAGCTGGGGCAAGTCGAGCTTGCGGTGGATCTCTAAGAGCGCCTCCGCCACCAGCTTACAATCGACCTGGAGCAAAAAGTGAGCAGGCACCCATCCTTGTACGGAAATGGTGCTTTTTTGGGGGGGCCATGAAACGGCTGCAAGCAGCTGACTTTCATGTTGTTGTTGTTTTTTGGGGGGGCCGCAAGCAGCTGATTTCAGGGGTGTTGCTCTAAGAAACTGCTTGGAGGCTCTGCGGATCCCGGGGCCATACTTGTCCGGGCGAACCGATGGGGGGGTGCATCCAAGGGCTTCAATCCAAGTTGTTGGCAAGAGAACCCGAAACGAATTTGTGCCGCTTGCACGGAATGCCAAGGGATCTGGCTGCTGTACACAAGCAAAATGAGAATCTGACAACTTAGTGGCAACCCTTGTGTCGGACAGCACTGTTGCAACTCGCACTAGTGGTATTGAGAAAGGACGTATGAAAATCAATGACCGGCACTTGACCAGACACCCTTTGGTCGGCAAGACCTTCACTCCTGTGAACAAATCAGTCGGCTCCCCTTTCGACCAGACTCCAAAAAAAGAAACACGACGGAGCCCACTTTTGTACGGATGTCTCCGCCACCTCCCCGACTGACCCCAGGTCGCAGCGCCTGCTGCCGGTTCCTCAGCGACACCTGGCGCATCCGGGCCAGGAGCAGCTCCTCGAGGCAGCTCTCCCCCGTGGACCGCAGCTCCCCGGCGCGGTGCTGCAGGTCCTCAACCCCCAGCGCCGTGGATGCCCCCCACTTCGCCGCGTCCAGACGCGAGTTGAACAACATGGGGGGCCGGAGGGACTTGCCAAGAGTGACTCAGCGCCAATCATGACCCCTTGTGTGCAAGAAGAATGCAATTGCCACCTGCGACCAAACCACCTCCCTTGCTTCATGCTATATGATCTTGAAAATCAGTCAATACAGGCACAGCGGTTCAAACAATGCCCCCGCCTAGCCCAAGCAGCGACCAAGCGGGGAATGGGAAATCACTCCATTCACATTCCAAGGTAGAAGGGAGGATTGGCAAACTCAGGCGCCATCGCTCAGAGCTGAGCCCACCCAGATTGCACATGTATCTCTCATCGAGACTCAAAGCTCTTAAGCCAAATCCCCTATGGAGGGCTCCAACTGATCTGAGTCACTCGCTTTCCACCAAACCGGGCAAGCCGCCACGAGCGGCACGTTCTCCACGAGGCGAAGCAAGTGCTCCAGGGCCTGCGAAACTGAGCATGTGCAAGAGTAGAACCCACGGGAAACCCGCAGACAACACTTGGGGTGAGCCTTGTCTTTCGCAAAGCGATTTGTCTTCGGTGATGTGTTGTCAATCGCGAATTGACATTGAGTAGAGAAGCCTTTCGAGTGAATTTGGATTTGTCTGTTTGTCTGATTTTCAGATCAATAATTTCAGCCACTGATCCCCTGAAAAAAAGAAAGGAAGGGTTGATGAAAGGTGACTAGCTCTGGACAGATCCTCTCAAACCTGATGGTCTTCAGAGTTTGGAACATCCAAGGCTAGCGTGAGTAATGCATTTTTGGATGGCTTGACTTCGTGCCGCCTTCCAAATCGGCGCAACAAGGCCAAGATGCCTGGGAGTCATGTGTGTGTGTGTGTGTGTTTGGCGCGGAGAAGAAAAAAGAAGGGACATGTTGGTTGGCACTTTCTCCTTGGCTCTTTTAGGAATGACCCCTCCATCTCTGAGAAGAAGAAAACACGGGCTCACTCCAGCGAAGACTCCGCTGCCTTCTTCACGCTCTTCAGCGAGGCGATTCCCTCGCGGGCCAAGTTCTCGGCATGCTGATAGCACTTCAGCAGATGATCCAACTCCTGCAGCATGCCTTGGAGCGGCAGAAAGGGAAACCAACGCGGGGGCAAGTGTCACCTGGCCAAGTCCAGTCAAGGAATTAGAGCACAAGGTACAAACCCCCACCCCCCGAAAAAGATCGTTGCCACCGAAAACACTCTGGTGCAGTTACGCAACGGCTTTCACTTGAACCAAGGAGGAGTTCACGCCTGTTTTGACTCCAGCTGCGCCAAACTCGCCCCCTGAATTACAGATCCCTGCGGATCCACATGCATCCGACGTCGATACCTCCAAAGGCTCTCAAAATACTGTCGGATCTCTCTGGCAACCTTCCAGTGAAGATCAGCTCATTGCCCCTCCTTTGGTCCTTTTGCAGATTGAGTTGGAGGAGGTCCCATTCCAGGCAACCAATTACGCCCCTTGCCCCAGAGACACTGCTGAGTTGCCTTTGGCCCGCAACAAACACCTGAAAACAGAGGGTCGCAATCCGTTTTGCGATCTCCCCACGTGTCCGTCAGAATGAGGGAAAACTTCTCAAATCGAATCAGAAAACCATCCGACCCTGTCCTACAAGGTCACAGGCTGTCAAAAAACGTGGAGGCGAAAGCTGCGTCACATTTTCCCCTGCCGTTTCTGCAATTTATCGTCTCTGGCTCATGCTTGGCGGTGACCGGGCGAATGAGGACAGCATTGCTTGTATGCATAAGCCTCATGTTGTTGTTTTTTTGCATAGTTACAGTTCAATTGCTCAAACATCTGAATCAACAAACTGCAGCCAACGCAGGGCAGAAATCCATCGCAATAAAGAATGCTGATACCTCCAAACGAAGCGGCATGTAGCGAAACACATAAGAGTGAAGCTGAGTTGGTATATGGTCTTGCAGTGATTGCCACCATCTGTCAATGAGACCCCACTATGAAGCAAGCGGGTCTGCGTGCTCGCCTCGAAACACTCTTCCAGCAAATTCATGTTTGCTGGGATCGACGTGGTGACTCTCCAGATTCTTACCAGCATCTGCAGCCAACATTGGCCATGCATCAACCTGCGTGCGACCTTTCATAGCGACGGTAACATGCTCCCCCCCCCCCCCCCGAAACCCTCCTCCCCCCCACTCAAAACTGCAACTCAACACATCACAGCCTGAATCAGAAAAAAACAGGCACATAAAAGCACCAGAAGTACCAGGTTTTTTGCCTGCCTGTTTCCTCCTACAAGGGCTCCTTCCGAGCGCCGCCAAGAAAGCCTTGCACTTTCGCGCCGAGTCTCCGCCCTGCTCCAGCCGCGTCTTGTGCACACTGTTGTCCACTTTGGTGTCCAGGATCCTACGTCCACAACTTGGCCGCCCCAAATCAGAACTCTGGCTCGCCGCATTTTGACTTGAGGACAAGCTCTTTGACCCAGTTCGTTTATGTTTGTGTCAACCAAAACTTAGCCGACCACATCCAATCTCCTCGTTTGCCTCAACCTGGCAAACTTCAGCAATTCTTTAAATGCAGTACCACAGCAACCAAGAGCCAGCCACACCACACATGATGCTTTGAGTTTTGCATGTACGGGCCATCACTGCCCAGCTGGCTACATCAGACAGCAGGTCTATGCTGCAAATGGCACTCCTGCACACCCTCTTGGGGATTCTTCACCATAAGCTGAGCTGTCAACAATTGTTAAAGCCAATGAACAGCCCCACCCCGCTTGCAACAACCTGCCACCAGGGCAGGCAAGAGTGCTTCGCGCGGACGAAGCGCCTGGTGGACTGGTGGATGAAGTAGTTCAGCCGCACCTCGATGATGCCGTTCCTCGGGCACAGATTTATGGCTGCCCGCAGTGCTTTGCGCTGCTTTGCGTACGGCAGCTAGGGTTGGTCGCCCCGGTACAGAGCAAAGTGTGGCGGGGAGAATTCAAGGCAAGCAACAAAAAAATTACTCGGTTAATTTAAAAGTAGTCAAACAAACGATGTGCCACCCGTCAAAACCACTGCATGACACTTCACGTGCCACACCAATCCAACCGGTGAAGAAACTTGTTCCCCATGGAGCCAATGGCGCTAGCAAACCCACGCCACCAAACCTTCCATCCGCCAATTCATCTATTTGACCCCCCAATTCGTGTATTTGAATCCCCCCCCCCCAACTCAGCCACTCTACGCCCACGCCTGCTATACGCCGCCGAGCCTCAGCTGCGCCTCCGGCTTCAGTGCGGGCATCCTCTTGTCCGCCAACTCCGCCAGGGAGACCAACAACTCCGCCGCCTGGCCTCGGGTTTTTCTCCCTGCAGGGTCCTAAGCCCATGGCAGCACGAGTTGCCGCCCTTATTCCCGCTTCAACGTGAACAGCCAGAGAAATACGTAGAATGCTTTTTCCGCTGTCCACCCAAGCTTAACGGGTTAATGAGTGCTCATTGAACAACGCCACAGCGAGAGCGCTACGACACGCAAGCTCCCCGCATAGGGTTTCTGTGCATCGACCCGCACGATCCCCGCAGAGGGTTCGCTGTGACCAAGGAAAAGTTACCAAACACTCGGGCTTTGGCACATCGATCCCTGCTGAGCATTCGCCGAGACCGAGAAACAGTTGCCAAACACTTGCGTTTTGGCGCATCGGCCCACGCGATCCCCGCAGACGGTTCGCCGAGAACAAGGGAAACCTGCCGAACAGTTGCATGTTTCACATCAACACGCCCGATCCAGTTTGAGCATTCGCCGCGACCAAGAAACATGAGTTGTTGCTGCCGCAGAGAAAGAAGAAGGACTAAGACTCGAGAAGAGAGGGTAGAAAAGAAAAGAGCATAGCTTGTTGTTTTTGGATGGGCAAGCAACACCTGGTGACTTCGCTGGCATTTTCAGCAACAGAGTACAGCAATTTCGGCAATAGAGTATCCTCCGAGAAGTTAGCCGGAGATGTGTACAGTGTGCAGCCGTTTTTTTTAAGAACCCTTCGCATGCTTTCGGGAGAAGCAAACTTCTGAAAGTCTTGCGTGTCAGAAGCCGTGTCAATTTGACACTCGTGAGATCACGAGCCAGCAAGCAAGCATCCACGCAATGAAACCTGCATGCTCGGCAAACTGCTTCAACTAGGAGAACTGAGTTTGCTTAGCTGAGAAGTCCTCAAACACTCAAGGAGAAACACAAAATATCGCAGAAGGACGCAGAACCAAAAGGGCTTGCATGAGCCCCAAAACAAGCCATCCATAGTCCGAAGCTTCCAATTGAATCTTGACTTTATTTGAACTTGTCATGTACAAAAAAAGAAGCCTTTTTTTCCGGGAGCCAAAAAAAAAAGACGCCTTGCCCCCCCCCCCCCCGCTCCCCTTGGCCCCCCAGGCCCCCCCCTCCCGGCCCGAGACGGCGGAGTCTGAGGGGCTGAGGGAGGCCAGCGGCAGCGTGCTGAAGATCTCCCCCAGCCGCCCGTGGAAGGCGTCGCAGAGCACCGGCAGCTCGTGGGCTTCTGGGCCAATGGCACGACCGGCCGAGCGACGGAGTGACGAGTGGTTTGGTGGGGGAGAAAGCGCCAGGATTGAATTCGGCCAAACCCGGTCGCCCCCCAATCTCCCAGAATCCGGCTATCCCCCAAGCTCTACCGGTTTCTGTATGGCAAGAAGGAGACCTTTTAAAGAAAAGAACCCCGAAGTCTGGCGCCGAGGCGGAAGTGGAAAGCGGCGGATTTGGTGGATGCAGACGGGAGGCAGTCACTTTTGGCGGATGTGCAGCAGAAACACAGACACAGACACCGTCACAGACACAGTCACAGACAGAGACACAGACACAGACACGGACACAGACACAGACACAGACACAGACGCAGACGCAGACGCAGACGCAGACACAGCGACAGACACAGCACACACACAGACACAGACACAGACACAGACACAGACACAGCGACAGATACAGACACAGACACAGACGCAGACGCAGACGCAGACGCAGACGCAGACACAGACACAGACACAGACACAGACAGACACAGACACAGACACAGACACAGACACAGACACAGACACAGACACAGACACAGACACAGACACAGACACAGACACAGACACAGACACAGACACAGACACAGACACAGACACAGACACAGACACAGACACAGACACAGACACAGACACAGACACAGACACAGACACACACAGACACAGACACAGACACAGACACAGACACAGACACAGACACAGACACAGACACAGACACAGACACAGACACAGACACAGACACAGACACAGACACAGACACAGACACAGACACAGACACAGACACAGACACAGACACAGACACAGACACATGCACAACCGCGGAGATGATTTGATCATCTGGCCACCCTCGGGCCGCGGAACCAACGGAACGCTGTTTCAGGCGGGCTGCAACACTGAAGGGCCCTCTGTTTTGGCAGCCAAGGAATGAAGAAAGAAACCCTCCATTTGCAAAGCATGTTGGTCCGTGGGATCATATCAGCTATCTGAAGTTAGGCCAGACGGAGTCAACGCAAATAAACAAACACGGCGTTCTGCCTTGATGATTCAAAGATTCCAACTGCGGGAAATTCACGAAGCGGCCCTGAACACTGAGCAGGGCGTCCAGAAACGAGTCTCAACGTTAGTTGCTGTTCTGGGGCCATGGCAAGTATGGAATGTCCCTGGCTGCACATAAGGTCGGCACCAAGTACCTATATAATCGGAAATCTGTTTGGCTCGGAAAATATGTGGACCTTAATCCGGAAAAACAGAAAAACAAATGGGTTTGTCCTAGGATGGTAATCCCCATCTCTCTTCTTGTCCACTAGTTTTCTCTTCTGAGAGCTTATTTCCATACATTTCCTTTATATAAAAGTGCTCAGCGGATGAATTTCCGAGGGAATAGTACATGGCCAGCCTGAACACTGAGCACAACCTTTTGCCACCGCAAGACAAGAAGGAATGCTCCCGAGTTTAGTACTGGCCTAGCATTGGTTAGTATTGGTTTAGTATTGCTTCGTGCTGTCATAGTACTGGCTTGGTATTGGCTTGTATTGGTTTAATATTGGCTTAGTATTGCTTCGGTTGCCTCCGGTCCTCTTCGGTCCTTTCTGGTCCTGTTTGGAACTGGATTAATATTGGTTTAGTACTCAGGAGAAAGAACTAATGGACAAGAAGAAAGAGGATTATTTCTACTATTGAAAGGCCAATCTAACCCAAATTGCTTTATTGGTTTTCTCTTTCGAGTCTGGGCCCTTTATTGATCGGTGACCCGCATTAACTTAAGGTTGCAAGTCAAGGGACCCATGTGTGTGTGGCCGAAATACAATGTTCCATTCAGAGAAACCTGTCCGCCGTCATCCCGGCGGCAATGCATCCTTCCTTATTGATGGCTTGGTTTATCTTGAAATGGTGGTTTCGGGGCAGATACTGTAAGCTTGCTTGGCCACGGGCGTTGCCAAATCAACAATTCGAGCTTTCATTTCAAGACCCTTTTGCGAGTCGCTAGTGTCATCTTTGATCTCGAGACCCCTGGGATGGAACGGGGACATGGAACAACCACCCTTCAGTGGTGCCTCACTCGACCCCGTGGAATCGAATGGGCCGCTTTGAACGACAGCTCCGAAGAGGCCTGGGCCGTCAATGTCCAGGAGGCTCTGCACAACTGAGGACGCCTGGCGCACGGATCTACGCGTCCAGAGACATTCACGGGCCTTGCTTACTAGAAGCCATGTACTTGTGGGATGTGTGTGTGTGTGTGCTCCTTGTTGTGCCATGGAGATGTTGGCGGGTTGCAGGTGGTGCACGCATAACGTTTGGTGTTTTCTGTTTAACACATTGTTGGAACCCGATTTGATGTCAAAACAACTTGCCAGCTTCGTTTCCTTCAGATCCGGCTTGCATTCCCAAGGTTGCTGCAACAAAGCGACGACAACCGATGCCCCACGACAAGGGTCACGAGCAACTACGTAATTACCGCAACTGCAGCGAGAAGAAAAAAACAAACAAAACACACACACAAACAAAAAAAACGATGACATCAGCCACGACAAGGACCATGTGGGCGGGGACCGCTGAAAATTGCTGCTGCGCTGGTACTGTCCATTGGCTTTCCTTCAAAAGGGCTGCTGCCAAGTCCACCCGAACAAACCTGCGGACCTCCGGGAACCGCATCTGTGTGATGCGGGCCAGCAGGGCGGCATTCTGCATGGGTGGCGTGGCATTCGCCTAGGTCAACCGCCGCAACGGAGAGTCGGAGATGGGGGAAGGTGATGTTTTGATTGCCGTGTGAGCCGTGTGACGTTCAAATGAACTCCTTGGTTCATACATACTGTGTGTGTGTGCATGACATGTATGCAATGACTCGGCGTTGCTGATATCCATTCCAAGCATCACCATCCAAAACATTGGAATTTGACTTGGCATCGCTTGCAGCGTTTCTTATAGATCCAGATCCAGGCAGGCCGCGCCTGTTATATAATGTTGACGGTACACTCATGTTTGATGCTGCATCATAGCGGGCTTGCAAGAATGGAGGGGGCCAACAGGCACTCACAGGTAACTGTGACAGGTACGTTGGTCTGTTGTTGCTTTGACCAAGCAAAGGCGCTTAAACATGCTCAAGCAAGCATTGCTACAACAGGCTTTCCCATCTGTGACGACTTCCTTTAACCTCACAGGTGCAAATTAGCCGACCAAATTCATCCAACCATTGGAGTGCTCCTGGCATTTCAAGGCCTCTGTTTGCACGTAAAAGCTCCGTCCAAAGCCAACCCAGCCCCACTACCTACATACCAAAACAAATTCGACATCATTCGACCCTTTGCCATTGACTTTACATTTGCCCTCTGAACACTCAAAGGGATCACCCCACGTCAACCTCCAAATCCATCTCCCCCTCGCCTGGTAGGGCGACGGCGCGCGCGCCGAGGGCACCCGCGGCTTCAGGTCGTAGGCCCGCCGCGACAAAGGCGACGCCTGGCCTGGGGACCTCGGCGGAGGCGTGGCAGGGAAGATTAGGTCCTATGTGGCGTGCGCGCGCGGGATGATTGTTTCCCCCAAAGTGGTACGCGCGGGGGGGATGTTTCCCTCACTCATGATACACACACACACACGCGCACGCACGCACGCACGCACGCGCGCAAGCACGCACGCACGCACGCACGCACGCACGCACGCACGCAAACACAAGCAGAGAGAGAGAGAGAAACTGAGAGCACAAAGGGCACTCAAACAGAGTGTCAAGCAATACACACACACACACACACCAAGTACACTAACACAAACAAAACGCCCTTTTTCTTTTTAATTTTCGAATCATTCTAGAAACTCCCAAAGGGGCAGGGGACTGTTGGGGAATTCCGAAACAATTTCTTCTAGCTCATTGAAATTTATACTTGTTCTATTTATTACCCAAGGGACGGGCGCGCTCTGGGGAATTCCAGGTGCATTGTCCTAATTCTTACAGCTATTCTGATTATTACATTTTTTTCACCAAGGGACGGCTGCCCTTTGGCGAATTCCAGATTCACGTGTTTTCGAATCATTCTACGTGATGTTATATTTATTCGCAAAGGGGCGGGTGCATTTTGGGTCAAATGTGTTCGAGTTAGTCTACTTCTCATAGCAATCATCACTCTCTGATGTATTCCCACAGGAGGGTACCTTTTGGGGAAATCAACATTCATGGTTGATCTAATTATTTTACTCATTCTAACAACTTAAGCAAATCTAAGGATTCTCTTTGTTTTCAAGCCATTTGGTGAAGTCCAGTGTGGTTTCCAGGTCATTCTGCTCTGATTATTCTGGTTGTAGCACGCATTCCCAACGGCACGGGGCCCCTTGTGGGGAATCCGCCCCTAATTAGTTCCTTTGTTCTAGCTATTCCCAATGACTGGTGCCTTTTCGGAAATCCCAATTCCAGATTCATGTGTGTTTCAACTATAGTATTCTAACTAATCAACTTATTCTCATTATAATCATTCCCAAAGGGGCGGGTGTGTCTTGTGGAATTCAAGATCCATGTTTGCCAGCTATTCTACTTATCATAACTATATTACTTGTTCTAATTATTATAATTCTTCCCAGAGGGACGGGTTGCTTTTGGAGAATTCCAAACCCATCTTTGTCCTACTGCCTTAATTATTGGGTATGCTTCCCCACAAAATTACAATTATTCTCATTTACATACTTATTGCGAAAGGGGCGGGTGCCTTTGGGGGAACTCCAGATTTATGTTTGTGCTAATTATTTGAACTAATCTAAGTATTCTACTTCTTCCAAAAAGTGGGGTGCCTTTTGATGAATTCCAGATTCATGTTTTCTAACTATTCTACTTATCATAACTCTTCTAATTCTCATCATTATTCCCAAAGGGACGGGTGACTTTTGGGGAATTCAAGAGCCCTGATTGCTAAGTATTCTACTTATCATAATAATTCTATATTATTCTAATTGAATCCCTAGGGAGCTGGGGTGCGTCTTGGGGAATTCCAAGCTCGTGTTTGCCCTGGGTAGGATAATTGTGTCAAAAGGGATGGGGCCTGTTGGTGGCGAGATTCGTGGTTCCCGCATTGTTCAAACTATTCGAGCCATTCCCAAATGAGCAGCTCCCATTTAATAAGTTCTAGATTATTTCCCTATTTTCTATTTGGTCCCAAACAGGAAGGTGCCGTTTAGTGAGTTCAAGATTCAGGTTCGCTGATTAGTCTACTTATCATCAGTCTTGTAAAATACTACTATCATTATTATTTACAAGGGACGGGCACCTTTGTTGTTCTAGGTACAACAATTACTACACAAGAGGTGGGTGCCTTGTACGTCTTCCCATTATTCTTGTCATTCCCAAAGGGGGGGGGTGCTTGCGAGGAATTCCAGATTCTTGCTTTTTCCAATTCTTTATTCTCCAAATTGGGGAACTTTCAGATTCATTGTTTCTCTAACTACTCTACGTACAATATGTTCTGTTCTTGGGCGTGCCCAAATTATTCCAATTATTCCCAACGGGACGGGTCCCTTTTGAGGAATTCCAGATTCATTTTCTAGTCTAGCACATCTACTCATGAACTTATTATAATCATTCTTCCCAAAGGGACGGGTGCCTTTAGGGAATCTCCAGATTCATGTTTGCTCTAATCTTTCTAGTTATTCTAAATGTTCTGTTGTTTCTTATTATTCCCAAGGGGGCGGGTGCCTTTGAGGAATTGAAGATTAATGTTTTGCATACTAGCCTACTTATCATCGCCATGATTTCTCCATATTCCAAGAGAGGCGTGCGCCTTTTGGGGAATTCCAGGTTCATAGTTTGTTTCTGTTGGTTCTACTTCTGATATATTTTTCTCATGATTATTCTCATTCCCAAAAAGACGGGAATTCCAGGCTCTTGTTTTTGCAACTGGTCATTCCCAAATTTGGGGGAGATTCTGATTCATGGTCTCTCTCTTATTCAACTTCAGGTGTTTTGGAACTATCCGCATTGTCCAAGTATCGCCAACGGGGCGGCCCTTTTGAGGAGTTCCAGATTCATTGTCTGCTACACTAATTCTACTTCTTATGATCAGTCTTCTCAAAGGGACAGGTGCCTTCTGGGAATCTCCAGGTTCATGTGTGTTCGATTCTTCTAGTTGTTCTAACTGCTCTAATTTTCTAATTACTCCCACAGGGACGGGTGCCCTTGAAAAATTGAACATTCATGCTTGGGAAATGTTGTCTACTCATCGTAGCTATTATAATGATTATTCTTATTCCCAGAGGGACAGGTGCCTTTTGTTGAGCTCCAGAATCATGTTTGTTTTTTCAATGTTTTTAATGATTCTACCTCTGATAACTGCTCTATTTATTCTTGGCATTCCCAAAGGGACAGGTGCCTGTGGGGAATTCCAGATTCTTGCTTTTTCCAATTCTTCATTCTCCAAATTGGGGAATTTCAGACTCATAGTATCTCTAATCCTTCTACTTCAGATATTTTCTGTTTTTGGAAGTACCCGGATTATTTCAATTCTGCCCAACGCGACGGGTCCCTTTTGAGGAATTCCAGATTCAATCTACTCATTCACTTATTATAATTATTCTCCCAAAGGGACGGGTGCTTTAGGGAATCTCCAGATTCACGTTTGCTCTAATCTTTCTAGTTATTCTACATGTTCTGTTGTTTCTTATTATTCCCAAGGGGGCGGGCCTTTGGGGAATTGAAGATTCATGTTTTGCATATTAGCCTACTTATCATCGCCATGATTTTCTCCTTATTCCAAGAGAGGCGGGCGCCTTTGGGGGGATTCCGATTCATTGCTTTTTTCTATTGATTCTGCTTCTTGTTCTGATCATTCTCATTCCCAAAGGGACGGGAATTCCAGGCTCTTGTTTTTGCAACTGGTCATTCCCAAATTTGCGGACATTTGGGGAAATTCGGATTACTACCCGTGTTTCCAATTATTGCCAACGGGGCGGGTCCCTTCTACTTCTTATGATCAGTCTTCTCAAAGGAACAAGTGCCTTCTGGGAAGGTTCATGTGTGTTCAATTATTCTGGTTATTCTAACTGCTCTAATTTTCTAATTACTCCCACAGGGACGGGTGCCCTTGAGAAATTGAAAATTCATGTTTGGGAAATGTTGTCTACTCATCGTAGATATTATAATGATTATTCTTATTCCGAGAGGGGCAGGTGCCTTTTGTTGAGTTCCAGAATCATGTTTGTTTTTCAATGTTTTTAGTGATTCTACCTCTGATAACTGCTCTATTTATTATTGTCATTCCCAAAGGGACAGGTGCTTGTGGGGAGTTCCAGATTCTTGTTTTTCAATTTCTTCATTCCTCAAATTGGGGAATTTCAGACTCATAGTATCTCTAATCCTTCTACTTCAGATATTTTCTGTTTTTGGAAGTACCCGGATTATTTCAATTCTGCCCAACGGGACGGGTCCCTTTTGAGGAATTCCAGATTCATTTTCTAGTCTAGCGCTACTTATCAACTTGTTATAATCATTCTTCCCACAGGGACGTCGTTCCCAAAGGGACGGGTGCCTTTGTGGAGTTGAAGATTAATGTTTTGCAAATTAGCCTACTTATCATTGCTATTTTTGCTTCTACTTATTCCAAGAGGGGCGGGTGCCGTTTGGGGAATTCCAGGTTCATAGCTTTGCACCTTCTGATAATTGCTCTATGTATCATTCTCATTCCCAAAGGGTAGGGTGCTTTTGGGGAGGTCCAGAGTTCCACATTCATGTTTTCCAAACAATTACTTCCAGGGGGGGGAGAATTCCAGATCCATATTCTTGCTAATGATTGTACTTATCATAATGATTTGATTTAGTCCAATGGTTCCCAACGGGATGGGCCCCTTTCAGGAATTCCAGATCTATTATCTAATCCAATGATTCTCATGGTTCATAATCATGCTAAGTATTCTAATTATTCTCAAAGGGACGGGTGTTTTCTGGGGAGTTAAAGGTCAATCGCTTGGTACTTATTCTATTTCTCAACGTGGGTCTAATTAGCCTAATTACACGAATCTTTGAGAATCGTGTCAATATTTGGAAAACAGCACCTTATTTTGTCTAACTATTATAAACCAACATGATTTGAACAACTAGTCTACTTAGAATATGTCTTATAAAACAACATGCTTTCTACTCGAATATGTTCAAAGGGACGGGCGCCTTTTGGAGAACTCCAGATTCATTTGTGTCCAACATCCTAAATAGTTAGAACAAATGAACATGTTTGGGTAACTAAGTATTTAGATATTTCACACAATTTAAGCAATTTCAAGGGCACCCCCTGGGCTAGTTCCGAAAATAAACTTTTCCTAATGAAAAAGTTCAAATAATTCCAAAATGCGAACTGCTTATTTTGATGAAAATGTTGGAGGTCCTGAACAACATATCTGTTCAAATAATCCAAGTTATGTCCAGGGCCCTTCCTGGGCCCATTGTAGAATATTTAAAGAATCTGGGTGTCTCGAATTCAAACAATTCGAATTATGGAATGTACA